CCCCAGTACCAGCCCAGAGCCTGGTAGCCCTCTGAGGGGCTTGACCCAGAAGAGCAATAATAATCACTGGAGTCCAGCTCTGAGGAAGCCCCATTCTCAGGAGAAGGGAGAGAACACCACATCAAGTGATCACCTCATGGGACAAAAGAATCTGCACAGCAGGCCTTGAGTTCCAGATCCTTCTGCTGGTGGGAAAGTTTCTAACAGCAGAGACACAACTGCAGTGCTGGGCACAGTAGGGAAAGTTTCGGTGAGCAAGATTAACAATATCACGAATATCAAGATGAAGAGAATTTAAAGAACATCTCCCAGATTTGGTTTCCTTGCTTTCCTTTAATACTCCCCTAAATCCCCTCATGACAACTTGTTGTCCTTTCCCCACCCAACAGCATGCAGAACATGAAGTTCAAAAGATAATGGAATTTATGGGGAAGAAACTAGATGAAGAGGCTGTCAAAAGTATTGCTCAGCAGACATCACTTGAAAGTATGAGGAAAAACTAGATGACCAACCATGTGGCAATAAATTGTGACATCATGAACCACTCCATCTCCCAGTTTATGAGGAAAGCTGCCTGCCAACCACCATGAATTTCTTTGAGAACAATATTATTACATAACTAGTATTTTGGAAAGGAATATTAATATGCTTGTTTCCTTCTTATTTTTTTAAAGAAAGATCTCACTCTGTCACCCAGGCTGAAGTGCAATGGTACAATCACAGCTCACTACAACTTTAAACACCTGGGTTCAAGCAGTCCTCCCATCTGCAGCCTTCCAAGTAGCTGAGATCACAGGTACACATCACCATGCCCAGCTAATTTTTTTATTTTTCGTACAGACAGGGTCTAACTATGTTGCCTAGGCTGGTCTTGAACTTCTGGGCTCAAGCAATTCTACCTTGGCCTCCATAGTGCTAGGATTACACGCATGAGCCACCATGACTGACCTTAAAACCTTTTTAACTAACATGATACTGCCAATTATTCTGAGGTTTTCTCAAAATATTAATAAGTCTTTGAAAGAAAATTGATTGTGATGTGTACCTGTTATAAGAATTCATACTTTTTAATTATCTGTAAGGTTTCACTTTAAGGAAAAAGCGTTCAGATTAGACTTCCTCTCCAATCTCTCAAGCATGATTGCATTGCTTTTCAGGGACCACGGGAGAGTGAAAGCATTACTCCACAGTGGCACAGAATGAGAGATTTGATGAAGACTAAGGAGGAAAATGGCTGACTCTTCGCTGACCTTCCACATGGAGATATATATATAGAGAGAGAGAGAGAAACAAAGCTGTACTACACAGGGGCAATTTTAATACCTTATGTTCCAATTTTTATTCCCCTTATCACTGCTTTTCCCTAGAAATGACTTCCTGAGCTTGCTCAAATTATAAATTACCGTTTCCTCTCTGCAAGCACCTGGAAAATAAAATCATTTTGTTAGCTAAGGAGCTGAGCTCAATGTGCTTCATAAACTGACAGAATAGTTGTAACGGAAACTATGGAACCTTGTCAAAAGTCTGGTGGTTAACTCTCCAAACCAAAGTTTCAAGGTCCTGAGGTCAGCTGGCCACATTCTTCCGCCCATCACCTGGCCCTGTCCTTCTCAGGAGGAGCATCTTCTCAGATGGGCACTTGGAAGGAGAACCCCCCGACAGTTTTGCTAAAACTTTCTGAGAATTAAACCAGTCTAAGATTTTGCCTACCCAGTCTTCCTTCCTTCCCTCTTTCCTGCCCTTCTCCACAGAGGTTACTACTACACCAGGCTCTGACAGCCCTGCTCATTTATCCCTCACAAGCATTGTCTCCCAGTAAGTCTCTTACTCTTACTATATCTCAGTGATAGGCCAAGCATCTGCCTATCACTGAAAAGGGAGCATTATTCTCCCTTTGTTAAAGGGACCATTACATTTATGATTTACTGTTAAATTCAGATGTGTGAGTATTAGGTTGAGTCACTTGAAATTGGTGCCAAAAAAGAAAGCAAACATTCAAGTATCACACAGAAAGTTCGGAAAGATGAGAATTACTGAAACAGGATTTTGAAGGAGGGGTGTGTAGAGAAAACCCTCACCCCTGGGGAAGGAGCACAGATTGGCCAGGGCTCTGTCCCTGAGGACACTGTGAATACGCTGGCTCTGAAGTGATCTGCACACTGACTCTGCTGCTGCTATAGGAAGTGAGTTATTTCAGGGTTACCACTCCCTGGAGCAAGAAGGCAGCAAAAAGGGCAAGTCTCTACCCCTTCTCTTGCCTCTCAGTCTCCTTGTGAGCAAAGACTCAAAGAAGAGGCGTCAGCTGGCCCAGTAGAAACACGGATGGCAGAGTCCCAGCCCCACATCCAAAAGAAAACTCATGACACGTGAACTAGGATGTGAGAGGCAATAAATTTAAAAACAAGCCAGCCAATATCTGACCTTTTTAAGCTCAAAAATGGTCATTTCAAATGGTTTAAGCTAGTTTGTGTGTTTGTGTGTGTGTAAATATAAATGTATATATGTAAACATATATGTATATATATAAATCTGTTAAATAAATAAATATACAAGAAATAAATCAAAAGACTTAACAGTGTTGGTGAACACTCCCTCTCCACCTTCTGTCGGGGACTCCAGGTAGCAGGTCTTCTCTGAAGTCTCTGAGTCCCTGCAAGGGCTCTCAGAAACAGCAATAGTGCCTGAAGCTGAGGCTGAGAAATGACTGAGAGTGGGATAACACCGCGGCTACTGTGAGCGTGGTAGAATTCTCTCCATCTGACCAGTTGAGGCAATGTTTCTCTGCTGGCCTTTATAATGGTTTGTTTGAAATGTGCAGTTAATGCCAATGCCCAGTATGTCAGATGACACATTCTAGAAAGTAAATGAACAGTAGGAGCTCTAAAATCCCTCCAGCATGACTAAGCGAAGCCCCCTTGCTTGGGTTGAGTCAATCTAAATGCTAAAAGAAATCCTGGCAGAGGTGGTCCCTGGAAAAGCCTGCCTCTCCAACACAGTGACAGGAGCCCATTTGTTCAGCAGCCCATTGTTCTTCGGCCACTCACTTCAAACTGAGTAGAAGTTACAGCTCCAATAAGGCAGACACCTGACTGAGCCAACAGCTAAGTAACATAAATAAGGGGCTGCCAGTCCTCCCACACTGCCAGGGAGTCCAAATCTCAGAATTAGAAGAAGCACTTAGAGATCATTCAGACAGGTGGTCAGGTAGCTCTTTTCATATCATTAACTGAAGTGTCATTGTTTATGTATTGAAGAACTGGAAGTTTCTACTAAGGCTAAATATACCAATGATCCAGCAATTCAAATCATAGTCATGCACCCAAAAGAATATGAGAGAGTGCATCTGTCCACAAAAAAAAAAGAGTGAAAATGTCATAGGAGGTCTATTCATAATTACCAAAAATTGGTATCACCCCTTATGTCCATCAAAAGAAGAATGGATTTTAAAATTCTGGTATATTCATTCAGTGATATAGCATATGGTAATAGAAATAAATGAACTATCCCAGCTACTCAGGAGGCTGAGGCAGGAGAACTGCCTGAACCCGGCAGGCGGAGGTTGCAGTAAGCCAAGATCGCACCATTGCACTCCAGCCTGGGTAACAAGAGCGAAACTCCATCTCAAAAAAAAAAAAAAAAAGAAAGAAAGAAAGAAATGAACTACTGATACTTGCTGCTGATACTTGATGAATTTCAAAGACATTATGTTGAAAGAAGAAAGCCACACACAAAGAAGTATATAATGTATGATTCCATTAATATGAGGTTTAAGAATAGACAAAACTATCCCAGCACTTTGGGAGGTCAAGGCGGGCAGATCAAGAGGTTAAGAGATCGAGACCATCCTGGCCAACATGGTGAAACCCCATCTCTACTAAAAATACAAAAAAAATTAGCTGGGCGTGGTGGCGCATGCCTGTAGTCCCAGCTACTTGGGAGACTGAGGCAGGGGAATTGCTTGAACCCAGGAGGCGGACGTTGCAGTGATCCAAGGTCACACCACTGCACTCCAGCCTGGTGCCTGGTGACGTAGTGAGACTCTGTCTCAAAAAAAAAAAAAAAAAAAAAAAAAGAATAGACAAAACTAAACTACAGTGACAAAAGTCAGAATAGCCTCTGCCTTGGGTGTGGGGCACTGGTACAGCATTGACTGGGAAGGAGCAGGAGGGAACTATCAGAAGCAATGGGAATGTCCTATATCTTGATCTGGATGGTGGTTACGTGGGTGCATATAGAAGTATAAATTCATCAAGACGTAAACTTATACTTTGTGCATTTGTCTGCATGTAAGCTGTGCCTCGATATAAAAAAACTCGTTGTAATAACAGTCCTCAAATATTGCAGTCTAACCTCTCACAGAAAAGAAACAGACCTGAGAATTAGGTAACTCTCTAACTGAGTATTAGAAGTTGAGATGGAATTTCCAGCTGGACTGCCCCAGCTGGCAACATGTGCACCTAACATGCACACCTAGCATGTGATATGTCAACGAAGCATGGGTCTGCTTAGGTCTAGGGAATGTGTTTCTCCAAATCTCCATGGATAACCAAACCCAGAAGAGAAAATCACTCTTCTTTCTGTAGGGAGAGTAACTCCAGATGAAGAGAAGGAAGAATGAAGGGAATTCCTGAAGACTTGCTCCAGGCATTCCTTCAGTGATTTCTTCGAAATTCTTCATCTCCGTGGGTAACCGTGGGACCAGTAAGTGACCTCCTGGAATTGGGCAGGCTCCTGGACTGGTGCCTCGCTGCTGCTCTTCCTCCTGGCAGTACGGAGGAGGAGCCCTACCAGAGTCTCGCCAGTAGAAAAGGTAAGGCCTATTCTGGTACAATGCTGAAGACTTTTTTCCAGTTCCACCCAGAAGCCATGCAAATTGTCTCTCTTTGTTTGCCTGAACATATTTACCTGTAATGAATGACCAGAGCTCTGTGCCCAAAGCACTGAATACATAAAACCCATGTGAACCTCAACTTTCATTTACTTTTCACTTTCCCCTGCTGGTGAAGACCATGGTGGAAGAAATGGCTAACGATAAGGTGGAGAAGACAAGTGAGTTACAATGGGGCTTATTATGCCGAGGAGAATTTTCCCAAGTGAATGGAATCATCCTTCAAAAGAAAGTATGCGATTGCTGGGATAAGATCTGGAACTTCCAAGCAAAGCCTGATGACCTTCTCATTGCTTCTTACCCCAAAGCAGGTATGCACATGGGAAAGAGAAGAGGGAAAGTTGGAGTGTGTATCAGCACCTTATAGGATCATGCAGTAAAATCAAAGAGCAGAAGAAGAAAGTGTCCTTCTCTAGAAATCAGACAGAATGGCAAAGGATCTAAGATTTTTCTATAATACTATAGAGATTTCTTTAGAGATAGAGTAGTTCATTTATCAAAAATAGGTAACAAGTCAAAGCAGATTCTTCAGGTTAAAAAAATCCATGTTATTCATTTTTTCCCCTGCATTCAACAATTACCTATTAAGAACTTTCTAAATGCCAGAGACCCGCACCAAGCATAGGATTGGTAAAATGTTCATTATCTTTGCCCTGCAGGGATTTACAGTACAGCCTAGAGAAGAACATTAAACCATTAAACAAATCTTTTCACAGATATTTGATTACCTGTGAAAAGACCTTAGAAAGAAATGTAGAGTGTAATGAGAGAACATTGGAGGTCCTAATTTAGATTAGAGAATGTATTATCATAGCTATGGCTATGAACAAAGTACTGCTAACTCAGTGACTTAAACAATAGATATTTATTGTCTCATAGTTTGGGACGTCAGAAGTCCAAAATCAAGGTACCAGCAGACTTGGTTTCTTTTGAGGGCTGTGAGGAAAGCCACTGTTCCAGGCCTCTCTCTTTGGCATCTTCACATTCACGTTGCACTCTCCGTGTGTGCACATCTACCTCCAAATTCCCCTTTTTATATAGACATCAGTCTTTCTGGGTGCGAGCTATTCTAATGACATCATTTCTATTTGATTACCTCTATAAAGACTCTATCTCCAAACAAGGTCACATTCTGCGATACTGTGGGTAGGAACTTCAACATATAAATAGAGGAGCACACAAGTTAGCCCATAATAGTGAGCATGGAGAGGAAGCATTTACATATGCAGACTGGAGCAGTAGGACTTGCTGATAGATGATATGTGGGGGGTAAGGGAAAGAGAAGAGACAAGATTTGGGGGTGGAATGATCAAGTGGATGCCAGTGCCAAGCACTGAGTCAGGGAAGTACAGGTCTGAGAGGGGCCAGGGTATCTATTATTAGGCAGTTGAATGGATCGAAGGGGGTCAAATATGGACTGGGGAACACAAGATGTATATGTTGCCATTTCCAGATGAGAAAGAAAGTAGCTTAGACTAAGGAGGCAAGAGTGCAAATGGAGAGCGAGAGAAAACTTGAGATGTATTTTGGAGGTAAAATTACTTGAGATCTGAGAGGAAGGGATAACTCCTGGGTGACTCTCTTCTGGCTTTATCAACTGAGTGGCCCCTTGTGCTGAGATGGGAGAGCCTGGGAGAAGGAGAGGCATAGAGCCTGTGCAGGAGGTGGGCAGTTAAACTACAGCTCAGTTTGGGACACGTTAAGTTCGAGATGACCTTTAGACCAGTAAGTTTTGATGTCAGGGGAGATGTCAGAAATATATCACAGAGGGAAGCCCATTCTAGCTGGAGATATAACTGGAAATGCTGCAGATTGAAACATCTCAGGTTAAATGCCCTAAGGCAGAGCCTGAGGCAAGGATTCAAGCGTACATGAGTTATTGAAGTGGTGCTTTTTAGGAAAAAAAAAAAAAAACAGTAAGGGTATGTGTAGGATAAGGGAGGGGAAGAGGCCAAGCAAAGATGTGGCATTTAGTAAAGCCTTGCCCTGATGTGGTTAGGGCAGGAGGGAAGTGGAAGGATGGAGGCTGTCTCCATTAGGAGCCTCCCTTCAGAGGATGACACTTCTCCAGCAAAGCAGGGAGCTGAGAGACATGAGCGGCCAGCACTCACAGCAATGGAGAGGTTGGAGGGGGTGCAAGAGGCTGGTACAGGGGATCTGAGGAAGGCACCAACAGTGTCTACTAAAAATGATGTTTAAAACAATGGGAATGAATGGAATCACATGGGAAGAAAGCATAGAGGAAAAAGAGGGCACAGGACCAAACCCCAAGAAGCTTTCTCACTTAGACATTGGACAGAGAAGCAGCCAGAAATGGGTTGTGTCCTGGCAGCCAGTGGAGTGAATCTTCGAGCCAGAAAGATCTGAAGTAAGTACCTGTTTTGATCAAATTAATAACATGGTTGTTAGATGGGCACTGCACTTGGTGCTTGTGAACAGCCCCAGCCACAGCCTGGAATGACTACTGGGTTTCCTTTCCTCAAGTTGTCAGTTCTATCAACACAGATTCTATCTGAATCACCTAGAGGCAAGATTATCCCCTGAAAACTTGAACTGCCTTTTTCACAAAGCAAGTCAAGTTATCCAGGGTCACACTCTTACTAACTTCCCTCTAGGATAACACTTATCAATACGGAACAAGAAATACAATGCTACAAGTGGAAAATAATTATGAAAAGAGAAATTCATTTGAGTGAGAAGTTTGTCTTCTTGGGACTCATGAGAACTGAGCATTTTCCCAGCTCAAACCCAGAAAATAAGTAAGAACATTTTTTCTGAGATTAGCAACAGGGCATTACAGATACTTGAGACATGTGGGAGATGGCTGACCTGATGCTGTGGTGACTTAATCATTTATCTGCCAAACTAACTCATCTGATATAGAAAGAGACACTTAATAATTAAGCTGGCACAACAGGATCAACCTGTATTGCCCTGGGCAAATTGGAAGGTGACAGTGACCCTATAAAACACAAGCCATCCCAGATGCTAGGTTCCAGGCCCCATCTAATACTTATCTAAGTCACCCTGTCATAATCTGAAATCATGATACTCACTCCCAAACCAGCCCCTTTTCTTCCCAGGAGTCAGATTCTGAGTTCAAGATAAGTATGTGAGATGTTTATTAGGGAGTGTGCCTGGAATTACTACACCTCCCCCCACCCTGGAAGTTAAGGAAAGGAAGGAAGCAGAATTAGCCAGAGGGAGAAGCTGAGCTTCAACTCAGTCCCAGCAAAAAGCCTCCTATGGTATGATCTGCAGCTGGGATGGCCCTGCAGAGTTGGTCCCATCCCAGTTGGGGAGAGGGGAACAGAGTGTTAGCCAGTCCCTAAATGGAAGATGTCCCAGGAAGGGGCCTGGAGAGGGCTGAATAGCTGGGGACCATCTACCAGCAGCATCCCAAGCAGCTGGTGGAATAAACACTTCCATTCAGAAGGAAAATCCGGCTGTGCATCCAGCACCTTTTACAATCTCCATGAACAAGCTGCAGAGCACAGTCTTTGCCACAGCTTGCCTGAGCCATACCATGGCTTGCTGAGTTGCCATTCAGGTCAACATATGTGCCTGAAATTGCCACCTTGTAGGTGGAGTCCACGGAAAAGCAGACATCAGCCTGTGCTGGAAACCAGGCCATAGTGGTGACTGAGGAGCATAATGTAGTGGCACTCAGCTCCCCAGGGCAAGAGGTGAGCAGTTACTGATGAGTACCAGTCATGGTGCAAGGGGCCCTGTCAGCAGGCTGGGTTGGGAGTAAGTGTGGAATGTGAGGCTAGGAGGTCTGGCAGAAGCCCTTACACCAACCAAACAGGAATAGGGTCAAGGGATACTGAAGGAGCCCAGGTTTCCTGAGATGCTGACAGCATCTTTGACACCAAAGCCAAGTACAAAGTGGAGTCTGCAGGAAGAGGCACCCAGGACTTCCTCTGAGAGGCTACAGAGAAGCAAGGCCACATTCCATGCTCATAGTTTACAGGAAAAGGCAGAGCTAACCTATGTGGAGAAAGGCTCTCTGAAACTGTCAAAGAAGCATGGACTGGGAATTAGGACAGCACATCACCAGGAGGCAACAAAGGTTTGAAGATGAAACCAGTGCTGACTCCAGAAGGGCAGAAAGATAAATTGGTTTTAGTGCAGAGTAGGAACTGACCAGGAGCTGAGCAGCTGGTACAAGGGCACAGTCTACAGGTGGAGCCAGAGCCATGGCACTGCACCCAGGAACCTGCATCAGGGTACTAGAGAAAGGAGACCAGGATCACAGAAAACTGGCGTGGGGGAACCACGACAAGAATAGCACCTTATTTCCCAGGGTTTTCCCGAGCACAGTGGTCCCATTTGTTCTAGCTCTGGCCCTCAGGATATATACCAATACCATCAAAACGTGACGACACCTACCATTTCTTTAGTGCCTACGACAAGCTGGGTTCTACCTTTTTTCTCTTCCAACTCACAAAACCACATGAGAATCAATAATGTACAACAAGTTTATGTAATTTTTCCAAAACCACCCAACTCATACGTCATATACAGGAGTTGAGTCCATTTGATTCCACAGCCCCACACACATCCAGTCCATGCTTCCCCACAGAAAAATAGGACCAGGTCAGCCAAGGGTCCTAGAAGCCAAACAAGGATGCACTTCCTGAGGACAGGCCCTGCAGAGGCCAGAATCAGTAAGATCACAGATGAGGCCATGAAGAGAAACAAATTTTACCCTCAAATGCAGCAAAGATCATTTTTTCATTTATAAGGAGTTCGCCTTTCTTATAGAAGTCACTGTTTAATCTTGCTTTGTCTTTGAAAGAGGAATTCATTCAATCTCATTTTTTCAGCTTGTGGATTATTTGAAATTCTTACTTTTTCTTCCTTTTCGTATTATGGACATTGTGTCAGTTTCTTGGTTCTTAAAAAAAAAAAAAAAAAAAAAAAAAAAAAAACTAGACTACTTATTAGCAGCCAGAGTTTTTAATGATAAAGTTAATGTTTGGGAATTTCTGTGATTTTCTTCAAATGGAAATTTTAAAAATAATCCCTGTTGTTACATATAATAGTTATTTGTATTATCGTTTTATATATTATATATTAATGCATTTATATATTATTTATATATTAATGCATATTCAGATTTTTTAAGCACATCATTGGAGTAAAAAATAAAGAAGTCACATTTCTGCCCTTAATCTTTCTGATGAGGAAAAGATAATAGCTGGTTTTGGTTTTCATTCAATGTCGTAAGCAACATAAGTGAGGTATTAGCAGGCAAATTAATTTTTTATAACATGTTTCTAAATTCTAAGTTGCAGAAAATCAAAAATCAGTTCCTCAGATCTTTATTCTACTTTCTTTCAGGAACCACTTGGACACAGGAAATTGTAGATCTGATACAAAATGATGGAGATATTGAGAAGAGCAGGCGTGCTCCCATTCAACTTCGACAACCTTTCCTGGAGTGTATAAAAATGACATACTGGGGTAAGTCTTCCATTTACAAACTCACAGTCCTCACATAAAGATGAACAATTCAGGAGTAGAGAGTCTGAAAGTTGAACATATTTTGGGGGAGAAATACTCCCTTTAATCCCTAATTCTAAGTACTGGGTGAAAAATAACTTTCCTTGTGCAAATCTAGACAGATGCTTTTGCTTAATGTATTTCACTTTAACACTTAACAATAGAGAGGTACAATCTATCTATTAAACAAAATATTCAACCAGTTACAAGTGCCAATCGTTAGCTACACATTTCTCACCCAACAGAGTCCCTGCATCCTCATGTGGCACCCCAGTGTCAGGGCCAAAGATGCCTGGCACCAAGGACCACAGATTCAAATTTGGGATGCACCATGCACTTCCCATGGAAAAATAGTAAGTGTCATAGTCATAGCTAAGACAATCATAGCACATACCAGGAGCTAGGCATTATTCTAAATACTTTTTGCATATTAACTCACTTATTCTTCACAACTTATGAGGTAGCTGCCATGTTATATGTGAAGAAATTAAGATACAGAGAGATTATGATTGCTCAAGGTCCACAATTAATAGGTAGCAGAGCCAAGATTTGGACCCAAGAATTCTGTTTCCTAAGTTCATGCTCTCAAGCACTAAGCTATGCAGTGTGCGTGAATGTGTGTGTGTCTCCTATATGGACTCCAGGTACAGGTATCTGAGGGATACAGTGGAATTAAATAGACTATGTTGGACCAACATGGGCACCTGGTCATCTTTAATTAGAATTTTTCTACAGAAATCCATCCTAGTTCCATCTGAACAACTGACTTATGATCTCATCTTTGGGAAATGAATGAACAAACTAATGGCCTAAAACCAAATCTTGTTTGTTGCCTTCTCTCTCATTCTTCTTTTGGGGGAGAAGGGGTAGGGTTGGGAAACTAGACTAACATGTGCCAGGTTTTCCAAACCGCTCAGTTGGTGTCACACCAGTGTGCTTGAGAAAAACAGCCAAAATTAGGGTTAAATATAACGAAGAACAGGTTTTGAAAAGTGTTCTACTCCATACTAAATCATCTCGGTTTGACCCTGGAGGCCATCTGTGGACACATCTTTGAGAGTCCTCAAGACCTTTACAATAATTTCTTAATTATTATTTTCATGGTAATTAAAAAATATAAAGTAGGCACATTCTGGGTCACCTGGATGATCACCATGTAACCTGAATTCTGTCAATGTGGTCTCATGGTCCTCATTTGCATTGGTGCCAACAATCCCTTGTGGCCAAGTGGAACTGTGGTAATTTCTAAAGGCTAATGGGATGAGAAATGGAGAGGGCACTCAGCAGTAAATAATACACCAAATGAAGGCCAATGTAGCAAAGAATCAGAGGTACAAAAGGAAATACAAAGTGCTAAATACTAAAAGAAAATAGGGAGAAATAGTTTCTTATCATCTAAGAATGAAAAAAGCATAACATGGCACAAAACCCAGAAACCATTAGAAAAAAAACCGATAAGATCAATTGCATAAAAAATTAAAACTTTTTTTTAAAATCAGAGAATGAGTCAGGAAAATTTTTGCAGGGATTGACGAGGCTAACGTGATGCCTTCCCCAAGGACCCTGAAAACTCATCTTCCTGTACAACTACTGCCTCCATCCTTCTGGGAGGAAAACTGTAAGGTAAGCTTGAAACAGAAAATATTCAGAGACAGATTTTCCTCATGAAAACATAGGGAGCAGTTAGTTTATTGTGTCATAACTATTGCCCAGTCATCCCCACATTGTATCTGCCAGGAGCAGATTATGGAATCTACAATCATAATTTATGTTCTTAATCTCTCAGTGATAAGGATATGCTTAGCATATACCTATATCAAGAAGAGAGAGAGGATCAACATCTACTAGGCTCATTTCTGAGTATCTCATCCCCTTAATAATGCTATAAGGTAGAGGTACCTGAGCACATTGTAGCTCAGAGATGTTGCATAACTTGCCCAATGACAAACACATGGAAGGTGGAAGAGATGGGCTGCAAATCCACCTCTTTCTTACCACAGCCCATGCTCTTTCTGCTACTCTACACCACCCACTCTATGCCTCCTATAACTACAGAACTCTTCCGAAGCTTCTAGGCAGTTGGCCTCCAGCCACCCTTAAGGTAATGAGTATTTAAATGATCAGAAAGTGGCACTGAAGGAATCTTAAAAACTATATGCTCTACTATCCTCTCACTTTATCTCACTTGTAGATAAACTGTCTCTTTTAAGCATCTAAAGGTGCCTACAAGCAGCAAGCCCTAGACATTCTGAGACCTGATGAAAGTCAAATTTTTGTAAACATCAAAATTATTTTCCAACTGTAGCCTACAGGGGTGCAGATGCATTTTCATTTATGTCTCAAATTGGTCACTAAGGAATTTTTTTAATTCTTTCAGAGCACCAAGATACCATTTATTGCCTTTCAATCTAAAAAAGTATTCCTCTACAGGGAGAATCTGTAAATGGACCTTGGCACTAAGCCAAAGCAGTCCCAACCTTCATTTTCCATGTGGCATTCTGTGCCCTCTGACAGTCTTGTCAAGATTCACAACTTTACTCTCTCTGGTTCTCTAGTGACATTCAGGGTCTTACTCCACTTACTGACCCTAGTGGATTTCCTATGTAGACATGGAGTCTGGGGGCAGATGTAGCTGAATGACTGAAAGCAAATGGAAATATGTTGTTAGTACAGATAGAGCCAGGCTGATCTGGGAGTGTCAGTAAAATAAGAATAATATAACAGCAATTTAACAAGTATCAAAATTATGCTCAAGTACCTCCACCTTATAGCATTATTAAGAGGCTGAGAGGTTCAGGACTGAGCCTAGTAGATGTTGGTCCTCTCTTCTCGAAGTAGGTATATACTGAGCTCATCATTAGCCATGACAGATTAAGAACTGGGTAAGGGCCGGGCCCGGTGGCTCACGCCTGTAATCCCAGCACTTTGGGAGGCCGAGGCGGGTGGATCACGAGGTCAAGAGATCGAGACCATCCTGGTCAACATGGTGAAACCCCGTCTCTACTAAAAATACAAAAATCAGCTGGGCGTGGTGGCGCGTGCCTGTAATCCCAGCTACTCAGGAGGCTGAGGCAGGAGAATTGCCTGAACCCAGGAGGCGGAGGTTGCGGTGAGCCGAGATCACGCCATTGCACTCCAGCCTGGGTAACAAGAGGGAAACTCCGTCTCAAAAAAAAAAAAAAAAAAAAAAAAAGAACTGGGTAAGGCATTATGGGAGCAGAAGTGGGAAGTACAAAACTCCTTGACAAGGGGTGTCAACAAGAGTGAGAGAGAGGTCAGGGCATGAGGAATAGACATAAATTTTTCAAGTAATAAGAAGGGGAAGGGCATTCCATGTTACTGAAAGATCAGAAGCCAAGACTTAAGAAAATAGGTCCAAGGCCACAAAAGAGGCATGAGCAGTGGGAAGGAGCCAGAGATGCCTTGTTACACAGCATTGCCTGCTAAGATGTTTGAACTTAACCTATAGGCTACTTGGATCCCGCTGAAGATGTGAAGTGAACAAGAAAGTGACATGATACCATTTACATTGTAGAAAGTTCCCCTGGGGGATGTGGTGGTTGGGAGGGGTGAACAGAACTTGGGCAAGACGAAAAACAGGATGTCTGTGAGGAGATGGTAGCAATAGTCCAGGAAAAGAATTTAAAAGGCTTGGGTTAAGACAGAGGCAGTGAGAAAATGAATTCCAAATGTACACAACAGACAGAATTCACAAGACCTCTCAATGACTGGCTATGGAAGATGTGGAATAAGAAGCATCTCGTATGATTATGTCATTGTAACTGTTGATGGTGGTACCATTAATGGAAAGAGATCATAAAAGAGGGGCAGTTAGTTTGTATGAAGATGAATTGAATTTTGACCCCATTGAGTCTAAAACGAATGCAGAACATTCAGGTAGGGATACAGATATGAGTCTCTAGCACAGGAGACAGATATGTACTAGAAACAAATTTGTGAGTCATAAACATATGAAATTTACAGCAATAGAAGAAAATAGTAAAAAAAAAAATAGAAAAAGTAAATAAAGCAAAAATAAAAGTAGACCTAGATCCAGGCAGAGCACTAAAAAAGGCCAACATTTAAATTAAATATTTCAAATTTTTAGTGATCATAAACCCCATGGAGAATCTACGGAAAATTGTGACTCCACTCCTGACAAAGTGTACATCTGTACAAAATTCTGCATACACTTTTAGAAAGAGGCACAGACCTCTTGATGGTCATCATTTTAAGACTCCCTGTTTTAAGAGCCGAATGGCAGAGCAGGACATGCTAAAGAAGGACAACCAGAAATATTATGGGGCAGCCACAAAATCAGCACTACCACAGAAGGAGGGAGGGCAAGTGTGACCAGGAGAAAGTGAGCAAAGGGAATCGGAGGGTGGGATCACATAGAGCCTGAACACCAGGTTGAGAACTTTGAACTTAATCATAGGAGCAATGTAGAGAAATTGACAAGTTTTACACAGGGGAGCAGCCTTACCTGATTTCCATTTTTACAAGATCATTCTGGCTGCTGGATGATGAGTGCAAGAGAAAAAGATGCATTCATGGCCTTTAGGACATGGTTACCAGAACACATATACTGTGCACACTGACTGCCCAATCTCTAACTTCTTCTACCATTTATATTGTTTCTTCTCACCACTGTAGATAATCTATGTGGCAAGAAATCCCAAGGACAACCTGGTGTCCTACTACCATTTTCAAAGGATGAACAAATTACTCCCTGACCCAGGAAGCTGGGATGAGTACTTTGAAACAGTCCTGGCAGGCAACGGTGAGCCAAGTGCATGAAACCAGCCTTCACCTACATCTGCAAAGGATAAGATTTCCCCATCAAATTCTCCTTCTTGAGAAAAAAAGTCAGTGTAGAAGGGGCTTAGCTTGTCTTGGAGACTAGGACTAGGGGCAGCATCCTGAGAGATGTGGCATAGTCCTGGCTGTCATCTGTGGTCAATGGATTTGTTTCCAATTGTAATATAGCCTCTGAATGAGGTCAAACCAGTATTGTAGGCAAGCCAGCTATATGAGAAGGTCCCAACTCTAAGCCTATGTTAGGTGTTTTACATGCATTAACTTGTTTTATCTTTGGAGTAACCCTATAAGCTTGGTAACAATATTCATCATTTGTAGGTGATGAAACTGAGGCTCAGTGAGTTTGAGTAACTTGCCTATGATTACCCTGCTAGCAAGAGCAGGGGCTAGAATTTGAACATAGGCAGGTTTATTTAAGCTCCAACCCTGTGTGCTTGGCGGCTGAAGTCTTCCCAGTTGCCTGCATGTTCAACTGGAAAGAAAGACATGGTTTAATGTGCATGCAAGTTTTCCAACCATGAACATCATTTGAATTGGTGGTGCAGTGGTGGCCCCGACACTGTAGGATCACAAACGATCACATGCAAAAATGTAGGTCTTTCAATCATGCTTCCACTGTCAAAACTGTGTCTTCACAAGTTTCCTGATGTTTTTCTAAGTCTCAAATGCTGTATATCTTTTAATACATCAATTGTTCTCCTAAAGAAGTCTAAAGAGTACTAAAAGGTGATAAGATTATTGAAGCTGGAAAATAAGTTCATGGAAATTCATCACACTATTTCCTCTACTCATATATATTTGAATACTTTCATAATAAAAACATTTCTCAAAAGTTAAAAATGGTAATTTAAGCAAGGCTTTACAATGTTATACTTATGGGGAAGTACAATATAAATAAAATATCAAATTGGTTTACACCATTAAGTTGAATTGACAAATTTGCATAATTAAAACCTTTAACATTTACACCAGAGCACTTGATTATTCAAGTTAAAAATTTATAGCTGAAACACTTTTGCTGATTATTATTTTCCCATTTATTTATTTTATTGCATTTTAGGTTTTGGGGTACATGTGAAGAAAATGCAAAATTGTTGCATAGGTACACACGTGGCAGTGTGATTTGCTGCCTTCCTACCCATCACATACATCTGGCATCTCTTCCCTTGCTATCAATCCCCAGCTCCCCAAACCCCACCGTCCCTCTCCTATTTCCCCCCAACTGACCCCAGTGTGTAGTTCTCCCTTCCTTGTGTCCATGTGTTCTCATTGTTCAACACCCGCCTATGAGTGAGAACATGCGGTGTTTGATCTTCTGCTCTTCTGTCAGTTTGCTGAGAATGATGGTTTCCAGGTTCATCCATGTCCCTACAAAGGACACAAACTCATCATTTTTGATGGCTGCATAATATTCCATGGTGTATATGTGCCACATTTTCCCTATCCAGTCTATCGTCGATGAGCATTTGGGTTGGTTCCAGGTCTTTGCTATTGTAAACAGTTCTGCAATGAACATTCGTGTGCACGTGTCCTTATAGTAGAACGATTTGTAATACTTTGGATATATACCCAGTAATGGGATTGCTGGGTCAAATGGAATTT